TCTCCAACTTCCCTTTGGCATGGAGCTCTCCTGAAAGCTGCAGGGTTGTTTTTTTTTCTGTGCAGCTTTCACCATTCACAACAGATGTCTAGTTTGTTTAAAATATTCAGCAGCTTAATGATTAATCACTATTATTATTATTATTTTTCATTGTGCAGTTATTAGTTGCAATTGCTCTCCAACTTCCCTTTGGCATGGAGCTCTCCTGAAAGCTGCAGGGTTGTTTTTTTTTCTGTGCAGCTTTCACCATTCACAACAGATGTCTAGTTTGTTTAAAATATTCAGCAGCTTAATGATTAATCAAGTAATTTCACCTACAAAAATATATAATTTTATGCTGTGAGGCTTAGAAATGACATTATCTGCTAGGGGAAAAAAAAGCAAAACAACTTTTTGTGCTCATTAAGAGCCTTAAAAACCAGCTGGGCTTTGGAAAACCAAGACCTTTTATTGTGGTTGTTTTCCCCCCATTCCCTCCCTCCCCAGCAAGGTGGGGAGCAGCTTCCCTGCAGCATCTTGAATCCCTGTCATTGTGCCTCCTCAGAGCAATATCTTGTTTCTTAAGATGTGCTCCACAAGAAGCAAGTCACCTCTGCCACCTTCAGAAAGTCCCTTTTGCAGTATTTCTGCCCAGCAGTGACCCCAGCTCAGCACCCAGAGGAGGCAAAACCCAAGAGCTGGCTCTGCACTCACCAGGACACCTTCCCAGGGATTTGCCCCATGGAGGCACAATCTTGCTGTGGTGCCATTTGTTGGGACAACTTGTCCTCAACGAGGTTTTTGTGATTTGTCCCCAGGGCTTTTTGCCCCTTTGGGCTGAGCAAGGCTGCAGTGTTCTTGGCTGCACCCTCAAGAAACAAGCAACCAGAATATCCTGCCAGGGAGCTGGAGCCCTGCAATATCTAGTTGCTGTGAGGACACTCACAACTGATTTAATAGCATGAGACTCAAAGTGAACTGGTTTATTTAAAGCTTGCAGAGACCAAGGTTTGCCTGGCTAATACAGTCTGACTTTTAGATTGAAGATGTAAATATCCTGGGACTTTGGACAGATTCTTTGGAGGACACACGGCTTGGAGGAGGAAACCAGATTCAAAAATAATACCTGGAATTGTTTCAGCAGGGCTATAACTGATCCTACCAGGACCCACAGAGCAGCCAAAACATGACCATCTGTTTCCGCTCCCCCCTGCCCTCCTGGCTGACTTCAAACCACCCCCTCCAGCCCAAGTTGCACTGAGCATCCCGGGCAGGAAGGACAAGTCAATAAACTGAAAACCAAAAAGGAACACTTCATTTTAGCAGAGGAAGCTGTAGTGATGTGACTCACTCGGTGGTTTTTGAGGCTCCCCCCACACACACCTTTCAGCACCCTCACTTAGAGGTTATTTTTGCATTTGCCCTGTTAGAGCCACTGAGCTCTCCAGCCTCGTGCCACCCCAGAGCATCAGGGTGGTTCAAACAACTCTGAGCTTGTTGCCTGCTGAGCTGGGCACGTTTATGGGTTGGGATGTACAGGAGCATCAGGGATTGTGAACGTCCATTCCCTGATCTCTGGGACAAGCAGATGGGAGACAGGCAGAGTTTTGGCTCCACTCCTCCCTGCTCCTGACCCGCCAGGTCTCCTGCCAGGGACATGCCTGCCCAGCCCTGTCCCTCCAGACGGGACGCGGGGAGGGACATCGCGCTTGTCAGACTCTGTTGCTTCCCTCATTGCTCCTGGGAAACTTGCCCCACCTCCCAGCCTGGGCACGCTTTACAGGCCTGGGCAATGTTTTCTTATTTTGGTTTGGTCACAGAGTCCTGCCCTTGTGGAGCTTGGCAACTGCTTAAGGAAGCCTTCAAAGAAAACCTTGCTCCTATTGAGGTGAAGCTGAAGAGTGTGGGCACACTGGGGACAGCTCGAGCACTAAGTACGTGGTGGAGATTCATCTTACACCAGCTGGTGGGCTTTGGCAGCCCCAGTGGCTGCTGCACACAGGGAAAGGAATCCACGCAGCAGGGGTGCTCCTGCCAGGGCAGCTCGGAGCACACGGGCTCCTGCTCCCACTGCGCTGTTCTGAGCAGCAAGGTGGGTTCATCGGGGAGTTTTGTGCCACCACCTCGAGCTCTATTCCCCATCTGAGCCCACTGAGATGCTGCACTCTCCTTCAGACACAAGGTGAAAACAGACCCCCAGGATGGTCTTTACAGAACCATCCTATATTAAGCCCTCTGTGTGGCCACACTGGCAGCAGGACCAGACTGCAACACAAAGTGATGCCTCAGCACAGGAAACACTCACAGCCCCAGCGCTTCAGCTGAGGGGGATTTTTATTCCTTTTCCATCATCCACTGCTGTAAAGCTGCTCTAAGAGGCAGCTACATCCCCCCACAGGAAGCTGTGTCTCATTAGCAAAGGTAAATAATTCCTCTGAACGTGACAAGTCAGGAGAGCATCTTAAATATGTCAATATCTTGGGGTTTTTTTAATCCCTGCTCCAGAACAGTGTGTTGCAGGAAGAGAAGACAACCCCCCCCAGCACAACTTGGAGCCCTGCCACACCCCTGCTGCTATTTCCCCTTACTCAGGACATCTCCCCCTCTTTGGGAGGAGATAACACCTGGGCAGGTGCCCTCACCCCTCAGTCTGATCCACCCAAGCAAGCCTGAGCACTCCATTAATTTCCCTTGCTCAGTCAGCACAGCTGCAAGGAAGTGAGAAATAACAAAACCGTTGCCATTTGCTCTCCAACCATCCACTGAAACATCCATTTAGTAGCCTCCCAGCTCCAGGGATGGACACAGAACTGGAGCTCAGCAGCCTGGGCTGCAGCCCTTCCTCCTGGCACACACAGAGATGGCAAAAGCCACACGTGGCTCAAGTTAAGGCTGGATCAGAAGCAGCAATTCCAGCACAGCACTTGAGGCTTTCCCATCAGGCAGGTGCCTGTCTGAGATCAAGCTGGTGCTGGACACAGGATGAGTTTTGTCCTGTTTTATCAACTGGCCCCTGCTGCTTTCCTCAGCAGCTTCGGACACAACTCCCACAAGAAGGCTGTGCCTGCAGGAGTCCCCTCTTCTCCCCAAGGCCACCACTGCATCCCCTGAAAAGGAGCCTGGTGCTCAGATCAGCTGCTGGCTGGTTGGTTGGTTTCAGCCCCTCTGCAGGCTGAGCAGCCTCTGCCTTATTTACAGTTGCTACTCACACATTGCCCAGGAGATGGAATTATTTATGTGCTCCTGAGCTTTCCCCAGGCTCTTCAGCACTCTGCCCCCCACTCACTGTGCAAACAGTTGCTCACATTCAGCACGTGTCTCTGAGCTGTGGGGAGGCACCAAGAGCCCATTTTACATCCACAGAATGCAGAAGCTCTAAGCAGCTCCCAGAACTTCTAGTTGCCCAACTGGAAGTGGCAAAGCCCAGATTTTCCAAAGCACCTCATGGTACACAGTGTTTTCCACATTCAAAGTACAGCCATGATTTGCACCCATTTGTACAAGCCAGACCCCCTGCTCTGCTCTGCCCAGGGTAGACACAGAGCACCCTAAAAGCAGGTCACAAGCACTCAGAGACTCCAAGAGATTGCCAGGACAAAGCAAGGCCATGGTACCAGGTCAGTCCCCAGTGCCACAGACACAGGAGCAGCCTCTTCCCACACTGCCACCAGGATTCCCCCAGGCCTGGAACCCAACCAGCTGGTGCAGCCCCCAGCTCTGCATCTCATTTGTTTCAGCCCCCCAGCAGCCAGAACCCCCAGCACAGCCACAGTGCTGTGGCCAATCCCCAAGGCCAGGCAGAGGCACAGAACTGCCAACCACACAGAAAAGATTCACAAGCCAAACTTCCAAACCCATCCGGGCCTTACCTTGCACGCTGGCTGTACTCAGGAGGACCAGCCCTTGCAGCCCAGCAGGCTCCTCACCTCCAACCATCACCCCTGAGCAGCTCCAGCTGCTTTATCTCCTCCTCCCCCTGCCAGGTGAATCTGCTTCCCTGATGAGGGTCCCACCACAGCTAAGCCCATTGTCCTACCCATCCCTCTCCCTCCCCAGTCCTCTGGGTTTGGAGTCTGACAGGGAGGTAAAGCAACATCAAAGAGATGCTTCACGTGCCAAACAGATTTGCAGTGTGTTGCAGAGGGGTTTTTTGCAGATGGTACCTACTGTAACACAGCCCCACGTCACCCCCAAGGCAGGTCTGACCCACACACTCCTGCAGGCAGGAGCTGTAGGGTTTTAACACCCCAATGGATGAGCAATAAACCCAGTGACACAGCTGACCCTGATGCTCCACCTCCAACATTTGGTGCATGACCTTGATGACAAGTCCTTAGTGCAGCTCAGCACATGTGCAGGTGTGACTGTGTCCTTGCAAAGCATGCAAGCTTGGCTGTGCACTGTCACTCGTGGGTAATATAGGATGCTTGGACCTTTTCTCCCGTTGCCCAGGCATGCAGGCAATGACTGATGTAGGAGTGGACGTTGTCACCTGGATGGGTGAGCCATCCCTCCCACTGTGGTCCCTGCAGGCAGCCAAAGATCACTGCCCCTCCTGCCTGCAGCAAGGGGAGGCAGGATGGCCTGGGAAGTGCCCAGACAAGGAGCAAGTGGCTGGGGATGGTGTTTAGGCTGTGGGAGTCCCTGGTCCCTTCAGGGCACAGAGCCACCTGCCCTGTTCCCTTCCCCATCCCCTGTCAGCTCAGCTTCTGGAGAGTTTGAGTAGGTTGAGCTGAGGAGACACCAGCAGTGGTCATCACAAAGGGCCTTCCAAAGGAAACAGCTCAGCCTTGCTCACAGCCAAGGCAAATCCTTATCTTTTTGTCTTAAATTCCTGCTTAGAAACAGCTTCACCCAGAGCCAGACCCCTGGCACACCCCAGGTCAGCCCAGCAATTAAGGTTTGACACGAGCAGCTACAACCAAGGCCCAGTAACGGTGTGAGCTCAGCCACGTGCCCGTGATGCCCACACGATGCCCAGGTGATGCCTCCTCCTCTCGTGACCACTGTTGTTGTTCCAGGAGAACCCGTACCTGTGCAGCGATGAGTGCGACGCCTCCAACCCCGACCTGGCCCACCCACCCAAACTCATGTTTGACAGTGAGGACGAGGGCCTGGCCACGTACTGGCAGAGCGTGACCTGGCGCCGGTACCCGGAGCCACTTCTGGCCAACATCACCCTGTCCTGGAACAAGAGCATCGAGCTGACAGACGACATCGTGATAACCTTTGAGTACGGCCGCCCCACCATCATGATGCTGGAGAAGTCTCTGGACAATGGGAGAACTTGGCACCCCTACCAATATTATGCAGACGACTGCATGGAAGCCTTCAGCATGCCAGCACGGAGGGTCCGGGACCTCTCCACCACCAGTGCCAACAGGGTGCTCTGCACGGAGGAGTATTCCCGCTGGGCAGGCTCCAAAAAGGAGAAGAACGTCCGGTTCGAGGTGCGGGATCGCTTTGCCATCTTCGCTGGCCCCGACCTCAAGAACACAGACAACTTGTACACCCGGCTGGAGAGCGCCAAGGGGCTCAAGGACTTCTTCACCATCACTGACCTGAGGATGAGGCTGCTGAGACCGGCCCTTGGGGGCACCTACGTGCAGAGGGAGAACTTGTACAAGTACTTCTATGCTGTCTCCAACATTGAAGTCACCGGCAGGTAACGGCTGCTGTATTTCTTGGGGCATCTCTTCTCAGAGGGATGAGAAGAGGGTTACTGCTAGAAAACTAGGCCATCAGCCTTTCTGTCCACCCGTAAGATTATCAGTGTTTCTCCTTCCAATGCTCTTTCTCCCCGGCCAGGGCAGCAGTGGTGATAACACAGGTGTGTCCTTGCAGGGAATGGCAGGGACACCTCCTGGGCTGTGTCTGGGAGGAGGGCTGTGTCCTCCTGGAGCTGGCACGGGGGGAGCTGGGACACAGCTCAGGTGGATGGGCAGGGTCTGAGTTCCCTCTCAGATACCTTGGCCCCAGCTGTGCAGACACAACCAGCCTCTGCCCAAAAATCTCAGGGGTGATGCTGGTGGGCCTGGGGGGTGAAGAATGAGGCTTGTCCCACTAAAGTCCAATTCACTGCCAGTCCTGAGTCAGTCCTGCACCCCCAGAGCAGCCTCTGCTCCCACAGACCCAGTTTGGGGTGTGTGACCCCCCTGACCCATCTGGGGCAGGGAAAGGCAGGAGGGAGTTTGTTTCTCCTGTTGTTTTTTGTTTTGCCTTTCTCCATACGATGCCACGTGTCACATTACAACCGAAAAAGCAAAGTCAGGTGGAAAAGTGCCGAGATGGCTGATTTCCCTTCCAGCCTGTGTGAGACTCAGAGGCGAGAGGGGAACCATCTCCCCTCGCTAACAAGACTCATCACAGCAACAGAGGAGCCGTTTGTCTCAGTTCCAGCCCGTTCCCTTCACAGACTTTGCAAGCAAACCTGTTTTTCAGGTGCCAGGGAGGCTGGTGTGGAACAGGCTCCGGGGGGAAGGGAGATGCAGGGAGAGGAGCTGCAGCTGGCAGGGGGGTTGGTCTCCCTTGGTACAACTGCCTGTCTGGGATGAGCAGCCACAGCTCACCTGGTAGCTCTTCTGGACACCCACCCCCCCAGGATTGCTCAGAGAGGAGCCCGGGAAGCTGAGGCACCTGCAGAGGTGTGGAGAGGAGCACCTCTGTGACTGGGTGTCACTGCAGTTTGCTGCTGTATAAATACGTGCACAGAGACATTTTACACCTGCCCATAAGAGGTATTGGCAGGTGGGCTAAACATCCAGGGTCCACAGACCTCTCAGGAGGGGGAAAGGGAGCAAAGCAGGGAGGCTGAAAGGAAAGCAGGCGAGAGGAAAGGCCAGCACGTTGCCTTCCCCACTGCCACCACTGTCAGTCCTGCCCTGCCCCATTCCCCCCCAGCTGGCCAAGCTGCCCGCAGGGACACTCAGCCTTCCTGCCTGCCCTGTGCAGGATGTGTCACTTCAGTCCTTTGGGCTTCTAGCTGTGCTGCTGGGATCCTCCACAAACCAGGGCCTTGCAGCTTGTCAGCTGATTTCTTCTTCCCCACCACCAGTCCCCCAGCAGGTTTTGAACCCAGTAGCCAAGTTTAATACCATTTAATAGCAGCAGAATTTGTTTCAAGAGATAAAATCCCTAAAAACTGTGAAAAGAGGCAATCAGGGCAGGGGAGGAAAACCCTGGGGAGAGGGGGGCACAACCTCCATGAGACACCAGAGAATCCACAGCTGCCAGCACGCTGGGCACAGGGCAGGGAAGGGTGACTGGCTGAGGAGCTGTGGATAAGTGGTGTACAAGGTGGAGAAGCTTCATGGGAATTAACTCTGCTCCTGTGATTATGCCAGTCCTGGCAAGCGGGGTTTTATTTCCTGGAAAACAATCTAATTCCAGCTGTAAGCAAAGCCAGTTGCAGTGCAGGGACTAGGACCAAATTAAATCTTGTGTATGGCTCAACAAGCAGAGGGTTATTGAGAGGAGAAATCAATGTGAGCCTGACAGGAGGGTGGTGTGGGCAAGGGGGGAGGCAGGGCTGGAGATGGACGGAGCCTCTTCCAGGATATGGGAACCACCATGTTAGAGGAACAGGAGGAAAGTGTCTAGCTAACATGGGGAGTGGTGTTAGGGCATCACTTCATGGTTATGAAGAAATGAAGGCTCAAAGGCAAAAAGCAGCCAGAAAATCCCAGCTGGAGAGCAGAGGAGCAGTGACTGAGAGATGTGAGCAGCCCTAAGAGGCTGGAGGAGCTGGGCTGTGAGGAGTGGCCCTGGGGGAGCAGTGTGTGCCATCAGAGGAGCAATACCTGGCACCCCCTGTACCCCTCTACGGCTCCAGGATTTGGGCAGGCAGCTGGCAGAGCCTGCAGGGCACTAAGACACATGGCAGCTCATTTCCAGCTGATGTTCATGGTCAAGCAAAGAGTGAAACACTTTGCTCTCAGAGCAGAGCTGGAGCCTGGGTGGTTTCTCACATCACAGCCTTAACTGGTGGGTTCAGAGAGATTCCTCTGACACCCCTGAACCACTTGCTCCTGGGACCCCATCCAGGTGTACCCCATCCTCTGCTTCCCACAAAGGAAAACCCCTCACTGTGATCTCCCAGAGCTTTTTGGAAAAGCAGAAAGAGCCAAAGCAAAGGACGTGGGGAAAAGGGGAAGAAGTCTCTTGCCGGGGCAGTCAAGAGTTTGCCAGGATCTCCAGAGGGTCTGATGGATCCTGAGAGTCACTGCCCCCTTCCTGGGCGCTGGTGCTTCAAGGTCTCCTCTGCCAGCTTCATTTGTGTCCCCTCCTCCCACAGCCTCAGCCAGGTCCGTTTCTCTGTTCATGGCTGACAGTTTATTTTTACTCACTTTCTCCTTCTCGGTATCTTTTCTGGTTTCGTTGTTTGGTGGTTGGGCTGACAGTTTATTTTTACTCACTTTCTCCTCAGTATCTTTTCTGGTTTCGTTGTTTGGTGGTGTTTTTTTTTCTTTTTCCATCCTGTCTCTATTGATCTGCAGAGTAACTGGAGATGCAGGGGAGTCAAGACAGGAATAGACACGAGCAAGCCCTTGCCCTGTGTGCTGGTGTGTGTGCCAGGCAGGGTGGGGAAGGGAAGCGGAAAGACTTTTCCCCGCAGATTCTCTCTTCACCGCTTCATTTTCTCCTCAGTGCAGGGACGAGCTCTGTCTTCTTCTCAGGAATGGGTGAATGAGCCTTTCCTGGCTGCCAGGGCTGCTGGCTGGCCTGGTGAAAGCCACCTCTTTCCATTACACACCGAGTCTCTCTGGAGTAATTTCTTCCCCTCGGTCGCGTCAGTCCCCGCAGCGCTCGGCAGGTCACGCTCTGTCACAGAGACGTTAATCAGCTGTAATTGAAGCTAATGTGCCATGGCCAGGACATGTGGATCCAGTTAGGAGAAATCAGATTGAGCAGAAGTGAATCAATTTTAGGTGATTATAAAGATTTCTCTCCTTCGTCCTCCCATGCCCTGCTGCATGCTCTGTCTGTCTGTCTCTCTGTCCATCCTGCCAGTGCTGAGCAGTCCCCAGAGAAGGGAAGGAGGAGGGAGCAGTACTGGCCAGGGCAGCTGCTCCTCAGCAGGGCCTCATCTCAAGCTTTGCCCAGGCCAAAGAGGCACCAACCAGATTATGAAATTTCCAGTGTTTTGACAGCATTTCCCTTCCTCCCTTCAGCAATTGCCTTTTGGAGGGTTTCCTTAGCACCTCAGCCAGGATCAGGCACTCAGACCTGAAGGATCAAGGCAGCCCCCCCAAGTACCTCCTCCAATAAATCAGGCAGGTTCATCATCAGGGGTACCCACTTGCAAGGGATGCACTTTTCTGCCTTCTCGGTGACTCTCAAAATGTGCTGCTCAATGCTTTATTGCTGTTCAAGTTGAAGGGTTTCCTGCTCAGCCTGGTGCCTGCATCCTGCCCGTGTCCTCCAGCCCAGCACAGTGATGACAGCTCAGCATCCTTCCCCTGAGGCTGTAGGTCAGCTTGAACCAGGGGTCAAAGAGCAAAGCATGTTGTGGCTGCCACAGGCTCCTTTGCCCTTCTTGGAAATTCCTCCTTCTGGCTCTGTTGATGAAACTGTTGGAGAGCCTCCAGCCACAGATGTTCATGATGTTGAGTTCTGCAACAAAGCAGTGTCTAGAAGGGTTGAAAGGAGGTTTGGTCCTTGGACCCTGTTGTTGAGGGTACTGACCCACTGAGCTCCTTTCCCTGAGGAGCTGGGTGGGACTTTCCAGGCGGTCCATAAAAGGGGACAGACAAGGACCTGGGGTAAAAGATCTGTGGGAGCACAGGCTTCCCCAGCTGAGCTTGCCCAGCCCCAGTGCCAGAGCATCACCTCCAAAACAGCCATGGTTTCACCCAAACACCCCCCAAGAACTACCCCAATGCCCCTGCAGCCTCCAGCCCTGCTCAGCAGCCTTGGGAAGACCACAAAAACCAGGGCAAGCCTTGCCTGCTCCTGGCTCTGCTCCTTCCCCCACAGATCCTGGCAGCCAGACACTGGGTCCCAGGAGGTAACAGCATCCTCGTGTCAAGGACAGCCAAGTCTGTGCCGCGTTCCTCAGCCCGTCCTCACCTCCGTGCTGGGCAGCCCCTGAGAGCTGGATGCCTGAATTTCCCTGGCATTCCTCCAGGCTGGAATGAGCTTGAGTTCAAGCAAAATCTTGCTCTTCATCATATAGTTAAATTAAGTTAATGCTCAGCAACTGTCTGCTTGGCTTTCCTTGAGGTTCGTAAAAGTTTTCACTCCCTCTGCAGCAAGATGGAGGGGAAACCTGCTGGGAGGAGGGAGGGAGGGAGCAAGAAATCCAGAGAGCTCCTCCTTCCCCCAGACACTCGTGACACTTTATCAATAGCCGGAGACAGATGCCCAAGGTTCTATTACCTGCCCCTGGCTTTGGTTTGTGAAGGTTTTTATTTCCCCTCCAATTTTGTTGCCAAGTTGCGTCCGGCCCTGAACAGATAATAGAATTTCATCGATAGACTGAGAAGGTGATGTATGTTAAAGCACTTTATATAAAGAGACTTCTACAGGAGCCCAAATTCAATTTGGCCAATGAACTCAATTGCAGGCATTATTGCATTCCAGGAGAAAGACCAAGAACATTTATACACATTACTCGGCAAATATTTATGTTCCCGGATCCATGTGACGTCCTCTTCACCCTTCCTC